AGGTAGACAATTTAAAAATTTATGAAGGAGTTGATAAAGCGTAATTAGGGAAAGTAGTAAAAAAAAATTCAATAATGTCATACTGTGTTGTTGAAGGAATAAGGAGAAGGATCGCTGATATTTACACGATACAATTATGAAATACAAAAAATTTATCTTTTATTGCTAACAATGAAGTTTGTCAAGACATTTACATTATTGCCGCCAGTTATGATACCCATACAACAATTTACAATGACCCACTAGGTTGGAAACCTCTCGAATTTGCTAAGTCTCACAGGAACGATTCACTCTTCGGTTTACTGAGAAGTTTTTCCACGCCACCTAATCTTTATTTATAACTGGTTCATATTGTGTTTGGACTCTCTTTCATTAGGTAACCATTACTTAGCGACTGGCGATGTTTCCATAGCGATATTGTTAATAATAAACAAATGTGGTCCCTGTCTAGCCTTCGGTGTCTTCAGGTAGGGTTTTTTTGGTCAAGTACAGAGAAAAGGGGATAGGGCTGATTCTACTCGCACTAATCTGAACTTTACTGTAAAACAGAAATTTGAAAAAACTCACGTCTGACTTCACAGCTGATCACTTTACATGGAATTTAATACATCCGAGCAATATTTTGCTTCTTGTAGGCAAAACTACGGGGAAAAATCAAATTTTTTTACTTGTTAGGTTTCGAAAATTGTACTCATTTGTTTGAATAAACGTCCAATAAATTAGACAAAAGTTAAGCAAATTTTGACTTTCAAACCTTTGATTTTCATAAACTAAGTTATACTAAATTTAATCTCTCGTAGAATAAATTAACGTTACACGGTTTCATTTTAAGCAATCTTTGTATACATATGGAGAATACGTGTCTATTGAAACTCACATATTATAAAAACGATTTTATACAACTTGAATTTTACATACTTTCTGCTACCTTCAAGTATTTTTTGCTGTTAAAAAAGTATCCCCTCATTTGTCCTTACCTAAGTCGTGTCATGTTTGTTGCGCATCAGCATTTTGCTCGCAGTCTGAAATACGCTCATTTGATGTGTATCTACTAAATAGATACATAAACTACAAGAAAATAAGTAGGATATAATTATATATTGCGAACTGGGTACATTGATGGTAATTAAAAAAATATGACTCATCGAATGTTGTCAAATTGTCACAGTTTTCCTAACAATGTGAGCAACATACTCATTTATACAGGGTGAGTCACGTAACGCTTTCGCCTAAAATATCTCCGTTATTTTAATGATACGAGAAAATGTGTAAAGAAGAATAGGTGTGCTCCTGTAGGGCAGTTATTGTGATAGAGAAGATTATTTGTCAAGTTCATACTTTCTGAAATTTTAAAGTCATCGTCGTTCTTTTTGTAAACAGAATGACGTATTTTGATTCATGTAACATTATAGCCATTGAAAAGAAAAATTGAACCATGTATAATAAGACAACCTTTAAATGACCTTCGGAGTAGTTATTCCTCAAAAAGCATATCTTGCTTCCGTACTGTGGTAGATTCCCATTGATGTAAACACTGAAACATTGTCGAAGGGTATGTCTTGTTTATAAACTTGTGTCTTCCGTCAATGTTTCAGCGTTTAGATTAATGAGAACCTATTAGAATACGGGAAGCATGAACATCGTCTTCGTACGTTCAGATATGCTTTTTGAAAAATAACTCCTCCGAAGGTCATTTAAAGGTTGACTTATTATACATAGTTGAATGTGCTTCTTCATTAGTTATAAATTTACACAATCAAAATAGGTTATTCAATTTAAAAAAACGTCGATGACCTTGATATATCGGAAAATATGACCTTGAGAAAATAATTCTCTCTATCACAATAACTGCCATACAGGGGCAAACATTTTCTCGTATTATTAAAAACGACGGAGATATTTTAGGTGAATTTGTCAGCTAACTCACCCTGTATATACAGGGTGTCCCAAAATAGCATCGACTCCCGAAAATGAGGGGTTCCTAGGATGATTTGAAACAAATTTTTCCTTAGCGAAAATGTTGCCTGCCACTTCGTTGACGAGATATTAAGAAAAAACCCCGACCAATCAGAGCGCGAGTCTGCCAGCCGAGCTCCCGCGGTAGCGTCGGCTACGCCCCGCGCTTCTACTACGAAGCGATGAACACGCAAGTTGGCATGGATCGCAGGAAACTGCGTATAATAGCAAATAAAAAAGACGTAACAAATAAAACCATACTTTTTATCATCTTTCGTTTGTTATTTAAAGAGATATAAAATCAGTCGGGGATCGTTTCACTGACAGTACAGTGACCTAGTGACACAGGTTTGCAAGCTGGAGGTGAATTTCCGAAAGGGTGGGTTCTATTCAATTTATTGGTGATCATTATTTTTCTAATTTAAAGTAAGCTATGACTAATTTCCGGTGACAATTCTGCAAGTTTTCGTACGTAAATTTTTCTTCGGGCTTGTTAAAGAAAGTCGTATCTCAATAACGAACTATGATCACTTCTCGTTCATTTTCTGTTATATTACCTATTCGTTAATATGTTATTTAAAAAAGAAATTTACGTAATCCTTATCATCTCATTTTAAACAATTATTATTTTCGATTCTGTTTCAAAAAAGAACCGTGTATTCGTCTTTTTACGTCACACATGATTTTCCTCCATTCATGATTTATTCATTAATCACTTCAAATGACAAACAAAAGATGATAAAAAATTCGATTTTATTTGTTACGTCTTTTTCATTTGCTATTGTACGTAGTTTTATTCAGTGTATGCAGGCTTGCTTGTTTGTAGCGTCGTGGTAAAAGCCCAGCGTGTAGCCAACATACCGCGGGAACATCGGCCGGCAGACTCGCGCTCTAATTGGTCACAATTTTTCGTTAATATCTCGTTAACAAATTCTCGGATAACATTTTTGTTACGGAAAAACTTGTTCCAAATCGCCTCACGAGTGTCCCATTTCTAGGATCTGCAACATTTTTGTTACACCCTGCATTTTTAAATACTCGTGTGAACTGTTTAATATGCAGAGTGTTGCCAGTTTGTCTTAAGAAAACTGTAAGAGTATGTTCTACGTGCAGACTAAAGAAAAAAAATTATATGAAAGTTGACTGCAAACTTTTTGTTATAATGTTGCAAACAAATGTGGATCGCAACCTGAAATAAGTAGTACATTAAAATTTATCAGATAAAGAATTGTACGTGTTCTAACAAATATTATGTTTATTTGTAATATTCATTTCTTTATAATGATAGCATAAATTATTTATCACGATGCTGAATGACTGCAAATATCGAATGAACACCTCATTGTCTGGGTCGAACATGAGCGAACCAGAGATTGCCAAATTATTATCTAAATAAAAAGTTTCAAATAATGAATACAGGCTAAGAAGATTTTTGTACGGAATAAATATGGAAATTTCATATGTAAAGTAAGATAATATTTCATTTTAAATGTGTAGATATGTAACTAAACAAGTAATTAATCATATTAATTGTTTTAATAACAGGATGAATTTTTTGGATACAATATCCTTTCATTGTAAATTATTCAAATAAAACTGTGCTCATCTCTGGTTTCCAAGCCTAAATTTATTTACTTCTCCTTTCGTCACTATTGCTCAATTGTGGCCGTTTAAAGATGAAATGTTCATTACAAGACACAAAAGATGAAAAATGTTATTTGATCTAATATTTAAATTAAAAGTAGTGAATAGTTCCTTATTATAACATTGGTATTAATAAGTAACTACATACTGTGTATACAAAAATTATTTACACTTACTTCTTTTTTAAATAACCTAACATATTGTGAGAAGACATTATTAATGTTTTTATGATTCTGATATTTTCAATCTAGAAATGTTATAAAAAGTGCATTTTTTATTACTATATGTTTTTCATACTTGTCAATATAATGAACATAATAGAATTGAATGAGCAACTACATTTTGTATTTTTGATAAATAAGATATAGTATGGCTATGAGTCCAATTAGCAACTACAGTACTCGTGTTTCGTCGCGCTGGGGCAAAAAACTTGACAAACATATTTAGGGTCTTGAACCTCACTCAGGATTGCAGGAATTATCCAATCTCCGTTTCAATTTACCATTGTTCTTGTTTTATTTCAGGTTGATATGAGAAATACTAGTTACAATTTATAGTATTCCTATTAGTAAACGAATTATCTGTAGTTATGGTCGATGGTAATAATACAGTGAGGTAATTCCAGAATTCCGGTGGTGAACAAAGGGTATGATCAGAGATGGGTCCGCCGCACCCTCGGGAGTGGAGACCAGGACAGGGATCAAGACAGTGTTAACTTCCGGTTACCTAGCCGTATTTCTGTAGCGCGTTATCGAGGTGACGTCTTCCAGTTTTTCAATCCGTCTACGACGAATTTTTTAAGATATAAATTGTTGAGAAATATTATGAAGTCATGAATTGTTAAGAAATATTACGAAGTCATGTACAGTAGGCGTTCGTTTATTGCAGCCTGCGTGGCTGACGAGGATCAGAATTCCAAAAATATTGCAATATCTCATTAAATATAAACGGTGCTGTGGGAGCAATGTTAGATTCGGAAGAAGCAAATTGGGAGCAATTTTTTGAGATATAAATCGTTAAGATACGTTAACATTCGGTGCCAATTAGTTTCCGGTACAGTGGTATGGGTGACGGAAAATTAAAATCAGAAGTTACCGATAAGCATTTATTTTACTTAGCCAACCGCGTGCGCAAAGCATAACATTCAAACTGGGAAGATCTCCCCATTCGGTTGGCTAAGTATTAAGTAATGAAAAAAGTTTCATTCATTGTTACCTTATCTGTTTATGTATATACTGAGTTGGATTGTATTATTTATGTATGTATGCATATATTGCATTGTTTCTATATGTATACATATATAATATATGTGTATATAATTACATAACGAACAGTGGTATAAGTGAGAACACATTAAACGTCATAGATGCAACTCAGAGGTACCTCATAAGGCAGACCGTATGACAAGACTACTAGAATGGAAAGCAGAACGGGATAAACATAAGCAAATGGAAGGTGTAAAAAAGAAACCTGCTTTTGTGGTTGGTATAGTTCATCACAAAATATATTCTCCCATAACACAAGACGTATTTGTTACATCAGTTGGGTCACATTAAAATGTACATGACTCAAAGGTAGAAAATGCATCTTCAACTGCAAAAAGAATTACTAGAGTTACAGAAAAAACATTAAGATACAAAGCTGATTTGAAGGAAGTAACAAAACTTTCCATAAGAGATTCAGAACCTGATCAAAATAAAGAGCACCATGTCTCTGTGGTACCAGCAACATCCTTCGTTCCTGAAGGTCGTACTAGTATGACATGTAACGATACTCCTGAAAAAGATATTATTGGTAGCAATGTAGAAGTTATTGAAGTATTAAATAATAGCACTAAAAACACACCTGAAATACTTGATAACATTACTAAAGAAACACAGTCTTCTTCCAATAGTAATACAACACCTAAATCAGTAAATCCTGTTTCATCCAGTGAACCAGTTTTCTACTCACCATATGTAGTTTTAAGTCGTGGAAAAAGTAATGCTAGAAAAAAACAGCAGATAAAGCTTGGTTTCAGTCTTAAACGTTCAACGAATGATGAGATTCCACCAAAGGATGCTGTCATGAAAAATCTGAACATTTCAATTGAAGCAGAAGAACGTACTGCGCAATATTTTAATTTTCTTTTAAACAGAGAAATAGATAAACTGAATGAATTCTGTGATAAATGGAGACAGGTAAAGGAAGAACTGGGGATCACAAAAGATGATCAGTATTTAATTACTCAGGCTATTGGACAAACTAATTTGCTAATAAGTAAAAAGTTTGAAAGATTTCGTAGTTTAGT